GGAAGGTCCGTACAAATGGCATTTATAACACAAAGCAGCTGCTTCCGGTGATGTGCAGTTACACTTGATGTGGCAAAATAAACAATACCGACATTAAGGGTTTACGGGGGCGAGCAGACCTTAATAATTTTTATTTAGGGCATAATAAATATGAGCTTATTTAATATCGCAGATGTGCCGCAGCTGATTTATACATTTTTTGTCCTCCATCATTAGGAATAGTTTTGGCAAATTAAAAAGACTAGCTACCTTGATACAATCTTCTATTTGATATTGAATTTTAATTAAATATATCTGGTGTGAGAGGCCGGGAATAAACATTGAAAAACTTTAAATGAAATAAAAGTTTGTTCTGACGAACTTCCATTGTTCTTTTTTATTTTTTATTTTTTACGCAACTACAACTACGTATGGTTAGCTATTTCACTTTCTCTTATCAAGTAGATACTAAAACTATTTTATATAAATGTAAGAATTATTTATATGAACTACATATCCTAACCTATACAGGGTGCTACAAATTCGAGGTACGAACATCGGTATCTCGGAAACTGTAATAGATACGAACATGGTTAAATTGGGGCAAAGTTGCGTCTTGGGATGTTCGCCAATGCCAATATGTTATTAAAAAAGTTTTAACGATTACCGAATTTTTTGAAAATAAAAACGGATTTTTTTGAAAATAAATGTTATTTGTCCATTTAGGAAACCGAAAAATTAATTGCACTTTATCAGGGCTATCTGATGGTATTTTTAAATTTTGAAATTAGCTAATAGTTTCTGAGATTAGCCCAACTTATTTTTTTTAAGTACGGACCTACGTTTTTTTTCAGATTTTGAAAGGAGCAGATGATTAAAGCTCTTTAGTTTTAATCATCTGCTGATGATGCTAACATGGTTAGCGAAACGCGTGTCCAGTGCAAAAATAAAGTGTATATTTAGGGTATTGTGGTGAATTAGCGTTCAATTTTGCTGTTGTAACACCAAAGGTTTTAACTCTCAACTGTAAAAATAACCCTTCTTCACTGATTATGTTTTTTCATATGCGATTTTATATTATTGTTAAGGGGTGCATAAAACCATTTTATACAAACTAAAATACTCATATAATTTGGTTTCATCATGAAGTGTTTCACAGAAATCCTTATAATCCGGTCGACATTGATTTTGAAAATAGAATCTTCAAAATCTTTTATTTGAGGTTATAAAATATACGGTTAAATATATAAGATTTAAGATTACATTGTACTATTAAATATAGAAACGTTAAAAAAGAAATAGCAAATAAAAAACTAATAAAAGAAATAACCTAATATAGAACAAACATTATTTCATAAACACACAAATTATCATTTTTGTATTATTTATCTAATTCTTCATCTGAGTTACTGTCTTTCATAGCTGAATCATAAACGATTATTTATTAGACTTGATTTTCTTTGTCCGTTTCCACGTCAGGTATACTTTGGCGTTGAATTAACTCTTGGGCTTCCTTAAGTAATGCAGGTTGGGTATGCATGATAGGTCGCAATTCGTTTTCGTCTAACTGCCATCCGAAGTCAGTAAAAGATAACTGTTTTGTTAGGCGTACATTTTTATATTTATAAGCTTGTAAGTGACTCCAAGGCAGTACTGTCTCAATGAGTAGTTCTTGTCTGGTAGCAGCAATCAAATCTTTTAATTGAGGTTATAAAATATACGTCTAAATATATAAGATTTAAGATTACATTGTACTATTAAATATAGAAACGTTAAAAAAGAAATAGCAAGTAAAAAACTAATAAAAGAAATAACCTAATATAGAACAAACATTATTTCATAAACAAACAAATTATTTTTGTATTATTTATCTAATTCTTCATCTGAGTTACTGTCTTTCATAGCTGAATCATAAACGATTATTTTCTCGACTTGATTTTCTTTGTCCGTTTCCACGTCAGGTATACTTTGGCGTTGAATTAACTCTTGGGCTTCACTTGGTAATGCAGGTTGGGTATGCATGATAGGTCGCAATTCGTTTTCGTCTAACTGCCATCCGAAGTCAGTAAAAGATAACTGTTTTGTTAGGCGTACATTTTTATATTTATAAGATTGTAAGTGACTCCAAGGCAGTACTGTCTCATGAGTAGTTCTTGTCTAGTAGCAGCCGGGCAGAATCATATTCTTATAACTGCCACCATTTATGTGCTCTAGCCTCACCCACCGTTTTGCTTACCGGATCGTTATAAATAATTCTAATGGTTAATAGTTCTAGTTGAAGAAACAACTCCGTAAATTTTTCATGAGCTCCAAATTAAGATTAAAAACATTATATAGTTGATTATGCTGCAACAAAGCAAATCCTCGACCTTTTAACTAGTAAACAAAATCCGAGCAAACTAGTTAATTAGTAATTAACTGATAGTCCAAACGGCCTTTATGTCTTATGTACCCACTCCCTCTTTCGGATTTGAGTCACTTCTTCCTCGTCAAGAGCTACATGAATAATAGATAATTCCCCGTCTGTAAAATTACTCATTTTGCAAAATTTCAAAGAAAACCACTATAATAAACTAAATTGGATGACAGTATTCTTGACTGTTATATCATAGATTGAATAAGACTGAGACAACGGCTACAGAGACTTCACTAACGTGTGTGAATAGCCAACAATTATTGTTTATTAAGCTTCATTAAGAACCTCAATTAGTGGAATAAATTAGTGCTTTAATTAGCGTAGAAGTTGGTACTTTTAATTTCAATGTAGCATTCAGTACCTCAAAATTAGTGGTAGGCATTTTCAATTAAGCTTCATCCAGAACCGCGCAATTAGTGGAATAAATTAGTGGTTTCAATAATTAGCGTAGAAGACTGTTTTTGTAATTTGAATATAAGCATTCAGAACGTCAAAATTAGTGGTAGGAATTTTCAATTAGTGGAAAAAGTTAACAAACTTTTAACTTTTCCACTAATTATACTTTAAAATTTGCGACGAATGTCATTTTGGCTTTTGATTAATTCACAGGTCTGCGATGGAAAAATTGTCTGAATTATTACCAGTGATTTTTGTAGTATTTTTAGCGTTGATTGCGGTAAAAATAGTAAAAAAATTCCACCACCAATTCCAGTTTTCTTACAAATTGCATAGCCACTATAGGCTAGTTTGCTTATTTTTTAAATATACTAGCCCTTTTTAATTCAAGAACGGTAGAAATATTATCAAATAATTTTTATATTTGATGTATAAATACTGCAAGAAATTAAATAAAAACAGAAAATAATTTTGCTTTTGCAATAAGCATTCTATTTTTCACTGGAGAGCTGTAATAATATGCAATATGTGGCGATTTAAAGTAATTTTCATGTTGCTTGGACAACAAAGTGGCTACACAGTTTCCTTGCTTTCTTCGCGAGTGGGTTAGTCCCAAAAAGAATGGCCAATGAGAAAAACTTTGTCGGCTGGAGATAAAAATGTTGTTAGGGAGAGCCTTGTAGATCCTAATAAGATATTACTACCGCCATTCCATATTAAATTGGGATTAATGAAACAATTCGTGAAGGCATTACCAAAAGAAGAAAATTGTTTTACATATCATTGTGGGCAATTTACTGGTTTATCCGAGGCGAAACTAAAAGCAGGCGTATTTATTGGACCTGACATCAGGAAACTGATGAGGAATGCTATCTATATATATCTATATAACAATAAGTTTTTAAAATATAATTCTTAGGGTTTTAGTTTTTATTTAACATTAAGGAGTATTTCTTTACATTCATACAACGAAATACTAAAAAAAATCATTTAATTCAAAAGTCTTTACAAAACCGCTTTCGCTTGACATCAATACTTCTTTTAGTGCCGTTCTTGCTGTGGGTACGCTCTTTTTAACATCCAGCAGTAATCTGCTATCATATTGACATTCCATCTTCCTTGATATCTTCTTTTTCTTTGATGTGTTGATGAAATATTTCTCCCTGTTCTTCAATGACATCACCAAGGAAAGTAGTCCAGATGAGAGTGGAGAAAATGGATTTTAATGCTCATGTTGCAGTTTAATTTCCGAAAATTGTCCAGCATTGTATCAATGATCGCTTGGTAGTTGAGGTTTTTTTATTTCCCAGAAAATTTATGACGACTTGATTGAAGGATAGCATTCCTCATCAGTTTCCTGATGTCAGGTCCAATAAATACGCCTGCTTTTAGTTTCGCCTCGGATAAACCAGTAAATTGCCCACAATGATATGTAAAACAATTTCCTTCTTTTGGTAATGCCTTCACGAATTGATTTTTTTTCACAGAGTAGGATCTTTTGAATACCGTATGATCGAGAAAAAACGGCGTCAACGATGGCTATGAAATGAAGATCGCTGTCATTTTATATGTAAATTTATATGAGCAATGTCATCGATCGTCATTTCCTAGCCAACTGGACGCCATTTTTTTCGATCATACGGTATTTAGCTAATAAAACAATAAACTTTTGATTTCTAACCAAAATTTTTCTTGACGGGTGATAATCAAAGGCCAAAATGACATTCCTCGCAAATTTTGAAGTATAATTAGTGGAAAAGTCAAAAGTTTGTTAACTTTTTCCACTAACTGAAAATTACTACCACTAATTATGACGTTCTGAATGCTTACATTAAAATTAGGTGAACAAACTTCTACGACTAACTGAAACTACTAATTTATTCCACTGCTTTAGTAGAAAAATTTATCAAACTTTTAACTTTTCCACTAATTATACTTCAAAATTTGCGAGAAATTTCATTTTGGCATTAGATTTTAGGATATTCTATTAATTTTAATTGTGTTTTTTTAAACATGATCTGAAACTAACAGGTATTAAATGTAATTGAAACCACTAATTTATTCCACGAATTGCGAGGTTCTGAATGAAGCTTTAAACTCAATTACATACTACATTAGTCAATTACATACAATGGACGTTCAAAGTAACTTTAAACATAATCTTATTTCTTTATGACGCTTATATTTACTATTTTTTGTTTTGTTGCAGGGGCTGGTGGGTTATATACTGCTCACTCTTTGTCATGGTCCAGAGTAAAAGAACAAAACTCCAATGGAATTATGCACGCAAAGGTATGGGTTCCAGAAGATCCAAGAACCAACAAAGAAGGATCTAGTTCGTCATTTATTTCTGATTAAGTCTGATCGAAAGTATCCTTATTATCAGTTATGTCTCTAGTCATTGTAAATATGAATTTAGGGTGCTCATTATAAATAAGTTGAAATACTACATCCATTGTACATATTTTAAACATACAATTAGTATAGCGCAGTTTTGTACAGATAGTATTTTATCTAGGAATATATTGTACAAATAATAATTATGTCTACTTTAGTTGTGATTAATATTTAATTATTATGACATGTGACAAATTTCAGTTTTACTAACCATCTAAATCACAATAGCACAATTCAAAAAGCTAGGTATTAAAAATTAGCGGTAAAATTACTTATTATTCTTAGATCTCATAAACTTCGTTATTATTTATATCTTTAAATAGACAATACTGGAATGGTTTCTGAACTAAATATGGATTTCTGCTGAACTTAAAATAGCATGGCCAGAGAAGCTTAAATCTTAAAAACATATAGATTATAAAAATAATGATTTTGACAGAAGACATCCAAAAATACAAAGGAGTTATAATACAGATTATTTACCTGTGCATTAAAATGAGAGCGGAATAATTCATGACAGTGACATCAGCTGTCAATGAATCTTTGGGTGGATATACATTACATGGACATTACATATTAAATTTTACAACTAAAAAGAGCATACACAATACTATTTAATTATTAATGGCTAAAAAAACAGAAAAAAAAATATACACACTGAACTAACTATAATTTGTTTATAATATGCAAAAAATCTTTAACTTTGTTCATAATTACTAATAGGCTTGAAAATATCTTTAAATTTAAAATTAATCAAATCTGACAATTTTTTAACAGTTGCTGTTAGTTATGAGTAGCTGTTATAAATTATTGTGTCTATATGTAAAATGTCAATGCATCTAAAATTAGTCTTTTGATGTGCCTAAACATGTTTTTTTTTTATTAATATTGAATTTTAAATTATATAGAACGATACAAATTCAAATTGATTTACTTACTATTTATGAAAAGTCATATTCATAAAATCATCCACAATATTCCGAAACACAACTTCTGTAACACTTTTGACGCATGTTTCTCTAAACATAAATAAGAACACTATAACAAAGCTATTTTAGCTTAACGAATTGTGTATTTATTCATTACATTTGAAATAACTGAAATAACTAGGAATAACCGAATTATGATTTTTCTACTTATATTTTATTATAATTATACGCTTTAATATAGTCTAGTCAGTTCCTTGTACCTACGTATATTTGTTATTTTTTAATTGGTTTGTAATATAATATATTCGTTTTTTAAAAAAATACTGCTGTTTGATTTTTTAAAAACATTTTCAGAGATACAGATGATTCAAAAATATATACAAGGTGGCGCACCCCATTCTCCTCGGTTGATTATACAAAAACGGAAATATGTAGAAACAAAATATTTTATGAGTATATGTGGGGAGGCAATGTGGGGGCACAATTTAAAATTATTTCGAAATATACAAGGTGTTTCAGAACTAAGATCCATACTAAAGTTATGCTTTTTTTTCTTATGGAACACCCGGTATTTTATTTCATTTTTGGATTCTTGGGCCCAAAAAAATGTATTTATTATAAATGTTAAATATGTTTAAAATCTTTGGTGTTTGAGATATTTAAAGATATTTAAATATGCATGCTACAATAGAATAGATTATTAACTTACATTACTTTTCAGAATTAATTCTTGTGCTGAGTTTAAAGGTGGGGAAATAAACTTTACTCTAAAAAGTTATTGCTTCTTTAAATTTATCCAGGGGTACCAAAAATAGCTGATCAATTTTAAGGATTTATTTTATATAAAAACTTTGTTATTTCAAATGCAACACTCTGTATTTTTTAAAACAAATCGAAGCAGATTCAAATGCTCTTTCAAACTATATTAGGGTTTCCTATACCTATCTAGCTCAGATTTTGAATAAATAGCGATTTTTCAATAAAATGGCAATCAAGATGGCTGGTATCGCCATGGCAATTTTTTAGTGACAGTTAGATATGACAGTTAGTAACTATTTTCAAAATCTACATTAGTTTATGGACATTATTATTTACGTTTATAACAGTTTACTTAAATTTGCCTACAATAGTTTAATAAGTAAATATGCATTATTTTATCAGAAAAATAAAGCTGTATCTGCTAGTGGAACGAATGGATATGTTACTAGTGATTTTATTTTGTAAGGAAAATTGCTTCTTGGCCTCAAGGGCTTATGTTCAAAGATATCCAAATAGAAATCTTCCTGATAAGCGTTCCTTTGAAAAACTACTTGTCCTACTTCGCAATGCTGGTTTTTAAAAAATCTATTAGGCAGAAACCTGTCGTTGGAAATGAAGAAAATGAATTTGCCGTAATTGGTTCTTTTATAGAAAATCCATATGCCTATCTACAAGGCATAGTAAAATAAATCAAAGAACTACTTCTTTTGAAAATAGCTACTAACTCTCACTAGAAAATTGCCATGGCGACACAAGCTATCTTGGTAGCAATTTTATTGAAAAATTGCTCTTTATTCAAAATCTGAGCTAGATGGTATAGGAAGCCCTAATATAGTTTGAGAGAGCATTTGAGTCGGCTTTGATTTATTTAAAAAAATACAGGGTGTTGTATTTGAAATAACAAAGTTTTTATGTAAAATAAATATTTAAAATAGACCAACAATTTTTGATGCGTCTGTATACATTAAACAAAGCAATCAAATTTTTCAGTAAAGTTTATTTCTTTGGCTTAAAAGTCAGCACAATAATTAATTCTGAAAAGCAATGTACAGGGTGTTGACAATCTTTTTTATTATAGCATGCATATTTATATATCTTCAAATATCTCAAAAACCAAAGTATTTAAACATATTAAACCCTTATAATAAATACCTTATTTTATGCCCAAGAATCCAAAAATGAAATAAAATATCGGGTGTTCCATAAGAAAAAAATATAACTTTGGTATGGATCTTAGTTCTGACACACCCTGTACATTTAAAAATAAAATTTTAAATTATGAACATTACCTGTCTACATCTACCCATAAAAAATTTGTTTCCACATCTTTCCGTTTTCGTGTAATCAAACGAGGCGAATGAGGTGCGCCACCCTGTATATTTTTACATTAGGTAAATGTAAACTTTTTTAAATTAAATGCCTTATATTTATTTCGCTCGGTAAATTTATACTGACAAGAGCTTAACAAAGCATGAAGTTTCATTAAAGATGTGTTGATATTGCCACTCTGTATACAGGGTGTTCCAGACTGAGCGTGCATTAGGAGCTTCTATAGAACTACAATATCTAGATCGGAGATTTTTTTACATCTAGCTTCCTTAGACAGTGCCAAACCATCAGAGAGTTTTTTTTCTGGCAAAAAACTAAAACTTTATAAAGTGTATTTATAAAAAATATACCTCGTATTTTAGTGATATCTAATGGCAATATAACATGGTCAGCGATAGAGTTTTACATCGCTTGACGTTTAAAGTCATAGGCTACTGGTTAAAAACCAGAAAAATATACCCTTTAAAACTAAATCCTAAAAAACTCAAAAACGATTTATTTTAGATATAGGAACATGTATAATCAAAAAGGAAGGAATTAAAAACCCTTTTCACTAGAGAAATAAAAAAGTTGGTTTCGATTTGAAAAAAATTATTTATAATAATTTTTTAACCTCCCGATTCCGTAACAGCTAGGGCCAATATTATGTGACATTCAAACAATTTAATTTTTGAAATAGATAACCACATGTCTTCTCTTTATGTCACAGTGTCTGTGGTAGTCACTAAATTTGACGTTTAGGCTATACAATTTTTTTGACAGGCAGTTTTTCCCCCAAAAATTTTAAATATTTTTTTTCTCAAAAACGGATAATGTTGGGTATAGAGTGTTTGATATAAAAATTCATAAAATTATATAGAGAATTTAAATATTTAATAAAAATGGAGGTACCCATTTAAAATAAGAAAGTTGCTGTCAACTTCCGGTATTTGCGGAAGTACCTACAGCCATATTGAAAATATTTTTAATAGATAATAGATACAAAATATTTTTGATATACCTCATTGTGAGGTGCAAAAAATCTCTGATCTAGGTCTTGTAGTTCTCTACAAACTTCTAATGCACGCTCAACCTGGGACTGGGACACCCCGTATATCGGGGGGTGTCTCAGTGATGGAATGACATGTAAATTTTCTTGGGAGTTGGCAGTACATGTATATTTTTTACCCAAGTTAGACAACTCTCGGCATATAGGAGTTTTTATGATGATCTATGTAATATTTGTTTTCGTAAATTACAATTTTTTTCACCATATACCGGGTGCGTCTCAAAAGTGGCTATATAACTTTTTTATTTTTTTCAGTTAAAAAAACGAGATTTGGTATGTTAATATATGACATAAATTAGGATTGATTGACGTATTCAATTGTTTTCGGTCACTTCCTGTTTCACCGGAAATGACTACAACTTTTGATTTTTAAATGGCACCCTCGGTATTTTTTTACTTTATTCGATACAAAAAAAAAACACTTTGAATACACTGACATATCATATGTCAACTTTTGACATTTTCGCATATGGTTTATTATATTTGAAATTATAACTTGCGGTTCGTTACGAAAATTTGACTCGAAATACCAAGTGTGTGGTATCAAATTATTCGTAAAAAAATACTTTATCCAAATATACTAATGAGCCACCCTCGTTCCATTTGAAAAAATTGAGATATGATTAAAAATACGATTTGAGCATTTTCTAACTGGCCAGGACATGACACTAAAAGCTCCCAAGCCACTTCGACACTTTCCAAGGCTCCTTGATTAAGGATTAGTGTATTTAACGTTTCCTAATACCTTTTTTCTATTTGTACAGGGTTTTATTTTATGGTACGCATTTCTGGTGCCATTTTGTTTATTGTATCTGACATTTGGGCCACGTTTGTCCCTACAATATACACGTTGAATAACGGAGGAATCTCCTGAATATACAGCATTTTCCGATCCTGTCTGGGTGGAGACGTTTTAATCACGATCCAGTTCCAGCAGTTCACCACAACCAGCTTGTGACCAGAACGGATTTAAAAGGCCAGATCATTTCTTTTTATATAATTTAAGTTCACTTTAATGCTTCAAGCCCTTCAGGCATATTAGATATTTTATTACTTTAGAGTCACTTTGAAATATTTTATTCATGTTATGCATATTTCTGATATATACATAGTACGGTTTTTTTTAATATAAAGAGTCCCTATATTTTGGTACCAAGATCGCCAGACTTTTTGCGGTATAATTAATAAAATATTAATATTCAGAAGCGTGCAGATTTAACTACCATCTTGAGTGATCTATTTTAATACATACTATTTACCAACAAACATTTTCAAACATCAAATTATTCATAGTCTTATTTTATTCTAATTAACATTTAATTATTAATTATACTTAGTTGTTAGTTTATCTCAGCGTTTCATTTGTGTAATTCCTAAAATAAATAATACCTATATTCTGAGTTGATTTCTCAGTTCTCAACTTAGAAGTTTTTGAAAGTAAATGGAAAACTGAGTGGCGCCCAGTATATTATAAAGACGTAATTATCACAATTTAATTTTCACTAGCTTACGACCCATTGCTCACCGGCGAACAGCTCCGTCGCATAGTATTAGTTGTTTTAATATTTTTTCTAAAAGAAAATTCTTATAAAAAAAACATTCCATCATTTTTTATAACTTCTAATGCTACAAAATAGCGTCCAACGATGTGGGGGCCTTGAGAATTTAAATTAAAAAATAAAATTGTTTTACATCTTGTTTTTTTTTTACGTCTTTATAATTTGGTTTATTATTTTTGCTGAGATAAACTAGACTATTTAATATTAACTTTGCTTAAAACGTATCTATTTTTATCGATTCAGTTCTGGACTTTAATTTCATATTTTTCCTTTTGCAAAAACAGGTATATTGTATTTTTTCCTCGGTATCTGGTACTATTTTTCTATATTTTTGGTATGGTATAGCTGTGATCTAAGTTATTCTGACGGTGAAATTGCTGTGGTTTTTTTCTTTTCTCTATTTCTATTTCTAGTTTTTTCTGTCTATATTCTGTCTATTTTTCTATATATAAAATCTGCATAAAATTATCAATTACAAATTGTTTATCTAAAATTTTAACTAAATTTATAGATATTTTCATCGCGTATTGTTTACCAGTTTTTTATTTCATAC